TTTTTCTTCTTCTCATGTTTTATGGCCCTTGTCTTGGAGAGAGGGGACTTGTTAGGGATCTTTGGAGATTTACAGTCAAGTTTTTTTCTATCAGAGAGAACACCGTACCAATCTTCAGACTGATATGAAAGCATGTTTCATAGAGGCATTCTTCCAGGAAATAAAAAAAAGACAGCTGTCTCAAAAGTTTAACTTCCCTGGTAAGATTAAGTTTTGAGGGAAAGTTCTGCTATCTGTTAAATAAAAAGTCTGTCAGGCATTTCTTATTTTGTTATTTACTTTGGAAAACTTTTAAAAGCCTATCCCCTAAATTGCTCAGGCACAGATACTCTGAATGCATCAAAGCTTTCATGGTTGCATACTGGGGAGGTGGGATGCTTGACATTCCACATACACACACTTATGTGCACTTACGTACACACACAAACACATACTCACACAACCACAAACAGCCAGCAGATTGATTCAGACAGCTGAATATTTGACATCTGAGGACCCGAATAGCTTCATATTCAGCAGCTCGGGGCCTGAAAAAACGGGCAGTTTGCCCTTAGCTGTTCAGCCATAACACTAATCTTAATGTTTAAACAGATTCTATCAATCTGCAGATTGCACACCGTAGGTGGAAATGTCCACCACAGGTACAGTGGGCACTTTTAATTTTGCAAATAATCAACATATTACTGCTTGGACATCAAAAAGCTGCAGATACGGTTACTATATACATGTAGTAAAACTGAATGCACTAATACATTTCACCTTTTCATGGTCAGTGTGTCTTTTCCATGAAACAGCACAAGACAAAACTGAAACTCAAAATTTATGTTTATCTGGCAGCACAGGAATGATGTCAGACACTATAACTACAATCCATATTCATTATGTTTGGATAACTTCATATCAGACTGAAATACATACTCAACAGTATAATGGCCTGTATGAAAGAATATTGGTGTAAATAAACTGCATGAGGTCATGTAGTGGTTATGTGGAAGAAATGTTAATCTGATACTACATTTATTAATGTAAAAGCTAATGGCTCAAATTTAAAAATAATCAAAAACGATACATATTTTTTGATAGCCATTCTTCCATATCATTAAATAAATCTTTTAATTCCTTTAAAAAGGATAATAGCACTACCTATCATGAAGCAAGCAATGTGTGTTTTATAATGCAGAGCACCCACGTTTTCTCTACTATGAGAATGTCTTGCTTGTGCCTGCTGCATTAGTTACATATTGGACAACACTATAATGTATCCAGGTCTACCAAACGTATGCTGTAATATACTTTATGATGCTTAAAAGGACAGGTAAACCAAGATCCTGCCAGACTCCAGGGCATGGGTGGACAGATAATTAAAGAAAAAAGAAAGGGATGAAGGGAGTACTGTAGGTTGAAAATGAAAATACAAATGTGGGGGTTAGAAAAGAAATTGGATGGAAAAGGGTTAGCAAATTACAGCAACTGTGTTGAATAAACGATTTAAATGTCATACCATAGCCACTGCTCACACATGATGAGTCCACTAAATAGGTCTGCGAATTTCGCCTGGAAAGTAATTACACATAGGTTCTTTCTAGTATGGGAATAACGAATAAATTGTAATTATTCTTCAATGCAAAATTTCTCAATCCGGGAAATAAAGCTATTATCAAGTCTTGAATTACATGAAACCAAAAGAGCAATTTGTAAAATGATATTAGCCTCTTTTGAATCTTATAAAAGAGAGAATCCCTCTTGCCCAGTGCTCATCTTTCTCTCTCGCTGTCGAAGCACAGCTTAACTCCCTCAGTGGTAAGTGATGGAAAAGGACAAAATTGGCTACTTTCGGGACAATGACTTATTCGAAATTCAAACAACTCTTCACAGCCATCGGAGCACCTGTGAGAGGACGGCAGACAAGTGGTGTCTCTTTCATCCGGCTAAACGTCTTAGAGGTGAGCCTCAGCCTTGACATTAAACAACAACAGCCACAAAACTGACACCACTCAAAGGACTCTAATGGAAACAGTTGCTGCATTTGTCTGTTGAAAAACTAACATCTTTATGCTAATAATGCTCTGTGGCTGACTTTGGTAGAAGTCTGCATGTAAGTGACACAATTTGAGATACGCCACACACACAGCATACACACACACACACACACACACACACACACACAGGCACATGTTGCAGGCACAGACAACAATCTGTTGAATTAGACAACAGACATTACAGATTCCATTGCCTGCATACACAGAAATCTGTCATATTAATGTATTCTGCATGATGTAAGTGCGAGATTTATAATTTCTATGTATCGTCTTTTCAGTTAGACTGCAACGAATAAGTCACATAGACATAACTAATTAGGAAACTGTTCGTACCTTCATTATGGGTCATTTTCCAGTTCAGGTTTCTGCACTGACTGCAGAATAAAACATACAGGAAAAACCTTTACTTTTTAATCAGTTAAGAACTCATGTTAACAGTAACCTTAGCAGGTAGATTTTGACCTAACAATTACCACTTTGTTCTGTTACAACTAATTTTAAGTATGTGAAAAGTTGGCGAGTGGTTGTATTTTTGAGCAACTGTGTGCTCATCCTAATCCCCATCTTCTTCTTCCCAACAGGCAGCAAGGAAAATTAATCTGAAACCCACTGCGCTCAAAGGCGTTTGCAGCTGAGACATCTTTCCTTTCACTTACTGCCAGTGGCATTTTAGAAACACTCACTATCTCAGTGCTCCCATCAGCATGTGCATCTGAATTTGCCACGTACAGCAAGACAAGTCCCAAAGCAGACACACACACACACACTAACCCAAAACACCAACACAATTCTGGGGTCTCAGTAGTATCCCTTTGCTTTTCTGATAATGAGAGTCCTTGGCTGCTTTTTCATTTCCAATCTCAGAGCTCTGCACTGGAAATGCCATGAAATAGACCCCCAAGCCCAACCCCTGGTGTGATATGGAATAACCTGCAGACAACATCAACTGTTGAATTTGATATTCAATGCAGCCTTTTACCACTGCTCTTTCTGAAAAAAAGGTAGGTAAGTGAAAATGTGAATGGTTGGAAATTGAAATGCTTTGCACATGCATGCATTCACTTACTGTATGCAAAAATACAAACAAACACATACACGCAAACACACACAGTGCATGAACACAAATACACAAGGTAGCCCAGTGGGCAGAAGGATAATAGAGGAAGAAGACTGCGTAAATCCCATATGTGCTTAATCCAGACACTTACAAGAGAGTGTGATTCATACTCTATTACACTCAACTAATACAGCTGAGAGACGCACAGGGCACAATCGTTTCAGCAGACATGAACCAACAAAATAACACCCATGAATCCTCTTTATGGGGACTTCACTGAAGAGGGTGTGAAAGGTCAGGAATAAATGCTTTGTACTTATTAGCCATTAAAACATTGGTGGCTTTGTGTGTGTTTGTGTGTGTGTGTGTGTGTGTGTGTGTATTTGTTGGAGTTTCTATGTGTATGTGTGCATCTCTGTGTCTGTAAATATGTGGAAAGATAACAAGGGTTTGCATCCTTTTAATGGAAGGAATTTCTCTCCAGTATATAAACTGTTTATTATACAGAGACTGGAGTCTTTTCTGCCGATCACATCATTCTCAGGCTATTGTCTCTTAGGAAGTGGGTGTGTGAGGTTGTTACAGTTTTTAATGTCCTATATTACAAAACTGTCTTTGTATCTGTTAGTATATATAATATAATGTATATTAATAGTTTAATAAAGATACTACTTAAGTCAAAATTATTTATTATAATTATTTTAAATGCATGTGTGAAATATTAGTTTGAGTAAACACATTTTAACAAGTGAACTTTTTCTGATTTATAAAACATCAGCGAAATCCTTCCTATTGGGCATCTCTACAGCATTGAATTTTAAAATCTCCACTCATTTGTTTTACATTATTTCAAGTGGAGTCAGTATTATCGGCCTGTCAGGGTCCACTATTGTGACTCCCCTAAAATCGAACCTTCCTCCCTTGATATGTTTTAGTGCTTTAATGCTCTCACACAATTATACACAAGCCCGCAATGCTGCACCATCTAACGCTCTTATGATTGGGTTTGTTCTTTTCGCTAAAATCTAATTCACGCTGCACCGTATGTGCTGGAGGCAGTACGAACTAAGTACCACAGGATTGTAGCGCAAGGTCACTTGCACAGCAGGGTGAACTGCTGACTTTGAGAGTGTGTGGGCTGTTTTTGATGTTCTATCTAACAACAACTATTAAACTTTTTTGGAGTATGCATTTTTTTACTCTGACAGATAAGTATAGAAAAGAAACTGATTTGATCCACAACTTCCTTTACATGGGATGTAGTCAACATACTCCAACTACACTGATTACGTTTGTACTTCAGATCAATATAAATCAATGGCAGCAATCACCAAAGCAATCAATATCTAACATACATAGTAACAAATAGTAACAAAGTAAGATGTTCCTCACACAAACAAACAAACAAACAAACCTCAGGCAAAACAAGTCAGAAAGAAAGCTGGGCATATCTATTCTCACACAAGTGTTCTGCTTAGCAGAGGGACATGTGTACGTGTGTCTAGGTGTGTGTGTGTGTGTGTGTGTGTGTGTGAAAGGGTTGAGGGATAAAGTAAAAAAAAACAAAAACAATAATAGCCACATACTATCCATTCCCGATAGAAAGATGGAAAGTATACATCTTTTTCTATGTGAAAGCAGAGCAACGACAGGAAACAGAGACACGTGAAATGTGGGACAGATGCTATGACACAACAAAGACAGCAGCTTATTCAAGTGACAAACACACAGGAATACGGAGGGGGGGTTTTCAGGTTGCTCGCCAACCTAAAAAAAAAAATAAATAAATAATCCAGTTTTTGTGTGTTTTGTGCATTTCCCACTACCACAAACCTAACACAGGGAATACTTTGTAAGCCTGCATCTGTCGTGTGGCTGATGCAGTCTTTCAATCTCCGACTCACCTTTTTTGTCCCCAAAAAAGAGGGTCTGCTGTGCTGGGTTTGACCACTGGAGGGAGGTGTTGTCATTATACTCCACACGGCAGGTCAGGTTCGCCGTCCCACCCTCTGTCACCGTCATATTCTGAACCAGAGGGTACTGACCGCTGATGCCTGCAACATGACACATAAGAGAGACATGTGAGAGGAAATGAGGACGCATCAAAGGGAAAGAGAGAAAAGATACAGAGGTAGACAGAGGGAGACAGATGGCACGTTTTTTTATTGCTCAAATTGTAAGGCTGCTTTGTTAATTAAATTCGCTTAATACACTTAAATGCAGCATAATGACGATCATGTAAAATTAAAACTACGGGTTAGACTGTAAAGTAATGTGATATTTATCCGGTAAATGCTTTTTTTTCCACTGAAGGAGCAAATCAGCTCCTGACCACACAACAAGACAAAGAGAGGTAATCTGGTTTATGTCTTCGAAAAAAAAAAAAAAAAGCTTAACACCCTAATTAAAAAGGAAATGTTCAGGCACAATGGCCGGTCACTACTGTGTGCTAAATTGGACCCTAACATAGAACACACAGGGGGCATTTAGCCTGCGGTGCTGACCCTGAAACCTCAGACTACACAGGGAAGGCCAATTAAAAACCATTCTCCGTGGACTGTGTGTGCATGTGTGGATGTAGGTGTGTGTAAAGCATGCATCCAATGAGAGAAACAGAACAATAAACAGAGTTATATAATTCAAGTAGAGCTAGTTTTCAGCACCACGGACAGGTTGCTTTTGCAACTGGTTCATCGAGAGCTGTCTGCCAGTTTTCAGGACTCTGGACAGCTCACAGTGCAGTGTGAGTGTGTGTTTGTATGTTTAGGTGTGTGTGTGTGTGTGTGCGCTTTAGTGCGTGTATGTGTGTGAGGGAGGCTGTAAGCAAGTAAATAATAATAACCATAAATCTATCCCTGTCCCCATCCCCAGAGGACAGGTTTTAAAGACTGTGTGAATAAAGGCTTAGGTAAGAAAGATTTTTCATCCCCAGCTAACTCTCCCGTCTTAAACCACCATACCCCCAGGAAAGGATCATAAAACCGAAAAAAAGAGAAAGAAAACATATCTAAGGATAGAAAGAAATAAGAAATAAGAAATATTCCAAAATGAGAAGCTTTTAAATTCGGTTTCTGTGTGACACCTTTCCATTCGTTTAATGTGTTAGATCACATTCAGCACCTCACCGCTCATCAGTTTTCCTTACTTTGGTTAATGTCTGCACACGTAAGATAAACAAACCCTCAAATAGTGCTTGTCTAGAGGGTTAGCAGGTGAGGCAAACCCCATCACTGACAGACCCGTTGTGAAGGACGTGCTGAGAGGAGAGAGGATGAGGTGAAGGAGGAAAGGAGAGGTAGAGAGAGGTAAGTCAAGGAGCACGGGTCATTTCCAGTGTTGATTAAGGCCTCCCGAGGTTAATCATGCGTGTGAGAGATAGAGAGGGAAGAGGAGGGAAACGGAGGAAAAATGGATCCGAGCTATGGGAGGCTAGGAATATGTTTTATTCATGAAAGTTTTGCATGAGGCATGATCTGCCAACGATTTACCGTTCTCCTGCGCCTGCCCTCGCTCTCTTTATTACTTCCTCTCTTTAAATCACTTACTTTTTCTCATTTTTCTCACTCGACATGCAGCCCAGTGTGATACATTTTATTTCTTTTGTGCTGGCCACAAAGGGAAGTTAATGGTTAACCTCCATATCGAATGGTAGCAATGATGATTTTTTTTTTTTTTGAGTGAGGTGCACAATATGGCAATATGAGTGTATAATTTCCGTTCATTACTGCAGTGGATGTGTCACTGCAAAATGCCATTGAAGATGGAGACACTCTGGTGATAGGCTCACTTGTTGTATTGTCAACTCTGTACTCATGCTTGAAAATATAATCTGCTAGTTTGTTCTCCAAATAGTCTGCTTTTGACAAACACTAAAACATGACATTTGTTTACGGCAAAGTGATAAACATGTTCCTCGGTAATATGGGTGCTTCCAAAATGTTTTATGGATCCAGATTTTCATCGAGGACTATAAAAACAAGAACACTTCACGATACAATAGCATTTGAATTTGACTGCAAGAATACATGTGTGGTAAGATATATAGGACATATTATACTGTAGATATGTTTTGACCGCTATTTCCTACACGTCTGCGCAGTTTAAGATGTTGTAAAACAGACAGTGCTTCTCACAAGACTAAATGCTCTACACACTGCATCCATTTGTACTACAAGTTCACTCATCAGGATCAGAAATATCAGTTTCTTTTTGCCTTTCTTTTCCTTTTCTCTTCTCTTTTGCAATGGCACTAGTGCCTACAAAAAGTTACAATAGTCCGGGAATCCCTCTGCTATAAGCCCTGCGTCAGTGTCTGGTGCTACACGTCCAGTGGGACTGAAAGGGCCAAAGGGGCCACAATGATGGTTATATTAGAACAGTGCAGTGCTCTGTGCGCCTAATTGGCCGGTGGAGTAGGTTCTCCCATCCTCCCCTCTGGCCACCCAGACCTGATTTTAATGTCTCTCCTGAGGGGAAGGAGGCAGCTGTTCTCTCCTGATTTCCATGTCTAAATTTAGGTCCTTCCCTCACTTCAACTCCACCGCTTTCTCCTACTTTCAGTTTCTTGCTCTGTCTTTTCCAGTTCACATCCATTCCACTCAATTCCCTTCTCTCTATTCTTCTCTCTCTCTTTCTCTGTGTCGCTTTTCCTCCTCTAGTTGATCCCTGAAGGGTGGCATTTCCACTTTTTAAGTCTCTCATTTTCATATTCTCTCTGTCTCACGGTGCGCCCCAGTCTTTCAAATTTATCTTGATCCTACCTTCTTTCTTGTGCTCAATTGTGCTCTATCTCTAGTGGAGAGTGGGGTCAGTTTAATTGCCCTCCACTTTGACTGACATGCCAAGGGTAAGCCCGGTCAACAACATCCTCATCTGCATGCCATTATGTAGTAATGACATAATGAAATGAGCTTTGCTTGATTTAGCTTGAATTGGATAATATATATGTCACCATAAATGGCATATACCAGTGGTTCCTGAAATTTTATCCTTGAAGCCCCCCTTGCCTGTGTCCAATTCAGGCCCCCCCGCAACCAACCGCCTACCCGCGATACACGCGGACTAAAAGAGATAGAGGGGTTGGTATACAATAGCTTAATGGAATTTAAATGACGCAAAAATATGCGTTGTCAATTTGGATTATACAGAGTTTTGATTCCAATTGGGTGTGTTATTGGGATTTTATAAATTTAATTTTGGTAACCTCACAACCTTAGCAGACAAAGTTGTGCGCACTTCCTGTGATCTTGTCCCCCCCCCAACCACTGGCATATACTATATAGAGCAGTACAAGACTTTATTTATTTAGGCTGGTGACTGTTTACAGCTGCCTCTAAACAAAGAGCAAGTCATTATTTTCACTAGAGAGACAAAACCAGAGCTCATTCTCACACTTTACCCTCCACACAGCTGTCTCCCTAGATGAGCTGAATCTTAAGTTTTAATGGGACCACTCAACACCCTCCCTCCACCAGTGTATGCACTGGCTAATAATCAAGGCTGGCCGCAAAGTTTCCACACAGTCATTTGGATTCGTGCCTCCAACCACACAAATACCACATTCAGTATTTCTCTTTCCCAAAAGTATATGCCCGTGTGGCCAGTAGAGATATTCAAAGGACACGAAGGCACATTCAGACACACAGTACCTGTTGCCAAAGCAAACTACCGGACAAATATTACTGATAAGAGTATCCAGGATGCTTGCTGTCTGCTCTCCGACATGACCTTTCAAGCAAGAGCAGCTGAGTCTACTAACCTTTCTTATTTAGGCATTCAAGAAGCGGAGAAAAAGAGAGAGATGCAGGCAGACAGACGGACAGCCTGGAGCTACTGACCTTTATACCAGTACTGGAGCTCAACTGAGCTGTAGAGCTATGATGTATGGCTGAGAATACAGGATTACAAAATGAATAGAGACAGGCCACAGTTTTGATTAGCTGATTCACCTTTTAAGCCAGTCGAACTTACCTTATAAATGCAGACTTGGGATTTCATCACTGTAAATTTTCAAGTCCGGACTCTTGTTTTCACAGTTCATCATTTCTATCAGTTATAAAAAAACATAAAGTAATGTCTGAGATCTGGGGACACCGTAATCTTGGAAGCAAGAATACTCGTAATGAATGAAACGTGCATTATGCAAACTGTGATAGATATGTACAAAGGACAGTTTGGATCATAGTTGTATGGTTTGCCTTTATTTTCTGTTCCAAATAGGTTTGGCTAACCTTGAGGTTTAAGAAACAACTGCAATACATCAGAATTAGTATGCTTTAAATGCTCAAGCTTAGTGAAAATCATACTGAAACTAAAACTGCCTTCCCTTTTAGAGCAATATTTCATTGTTAATGTTACTTATTATACTCAAATCAAGATAAAAAGGCATTATGAACACATGCTGTTCTTTTTATCATAATAATTGTATGTGGAAAATGTGCATTTTAAGCACCACTGCACAGTGCTGACACTGAAACAAAATGCATTCCCCTTGGAAGATCATGAATGAGATGCAGAAGATTACATAGGACATGACACTTTTGCCATGACCAGTTAGTGTCTATAAGATTACACAGGTGGCTACACAGCTGGATACACAAGCTTCTCAAACTGAATGATTCTCAGAGTGTCAGGCAGCCGGGTGGCCTAGTGATTGGAGAGACCGTACAAGGTCAAGAGTTTGATCATCTCAAGGGCTGGTGTGAATTCATCAGCCAGCCATGTATCCTGTCACAGTGTCCTTGAGCAAGGAAACTTATCCCCAGTCTCCTAACTGGTTAAAAGCATTCGGAAAAAAAAACAAACAAATGTACTGTATTTTTTCTGGGCAAGAAGCAATTTTAGCTGTTAATATGGAAATGTTGTCAGTAACTTCCTGGAACAGAAGCTAACGTATCAGACAACGTATCATCATTGCCTGCCCTCGCTCCACTGGGACTCTTCCTCCCACTGTGACAGTCTTCACACAAACGCCTTCCTTTTCCTTAGGAACATGTCATATATCAGAATATTTTGTACTGACGGAGTAAAAAACAAAATTAAATTAAGCATTTAGAGTGGTTTCGGTTGGAATGGGGACACAGTTAAATTTACATTGCCAAGTGAAAATATTCTCAATTTATCTTCCATATATCTAAGCATACATGCATTCGCCCATGAAAAACTTAAATAAGCTTAAGCTTTATGGCGATACTATCTGAATATCAACTTATCAATTGTTGTTGTTCTTACAATTTTATAAATATATATTTTAAAGGGTAACATTTCTCTAATGTACAGTGCATGTTGCATCTAACCAATAACTAAAAATCAAGGCATACACACATTGTATAAATGTATGTGTAATATATTCCATTCATAGACCCCATGCTGGCCGAAATGGTAAAAATGCTAAATTCAATTTTAAAATTGTTGTCCTTTAATAAACTGAACTCTGAGTTAGAAATATTTATATAAAACATCAAATTATGATACAAATAACATTTTCAATTTATCTTATTTGTTCTGTGTGTGTTTCTGAGTGAACTGTACATTAATCGCCATGTGTGAGTGTGCGTGTGTGCATTTCCAATCTAAACTCTCCCTTCTGACAGTGATAAGATTTCCTGCTGTGAGAACCTTTGTATTCAGTGCTGGTGTACAACCACCTCAGGACGGACATTTCTGATCTGCAGATATGAAATTAATTATCCAGCACCAGAGAGGCTGGCTATGGCAGTGCCGTTATCATTTACATACAGTAATTAGACTGGGCAGCTGTTGGTGCTGCCATCACAAACTTGACGTCCAACTCAACCCCTGGAGTCAGATCAACAGAATATCACCTACTTCTCCATGGTGCTATTAGGGGTTCCTTAAGCGTAGCATGCAATGACAGAGAGAGGACAGTTGGGTATGAATTACACGCCGTCAGAGTGGGATGTCGTTTTGGCTTGTTTTTCAGATGGGTGGAGGATGTTCAGCATCTGAGATGTGAAAGGTGTAAACATTCATTGTCAAGATACTGACAAAACATCCATGAAGAATTTCTCCTATGATAGCACCATCATTTTTTTGCTGAGAAAAAAACTGCCACTGCTGAACTTTAGTGTTATGTAGGAGCAAATCCTATATCATCATTTATAAAAGCCCACACACTAATTTCAACTTGGTGACCCGACACAGTATCATTTGCCCAGTATTCCTGCCCTTGATTCAGCCACATCAATTTAAAGGGCAGTGATATAAACCTCTGCCCATTCTCTGTGTGTAAGCTGCTTGAGTTCAGGCTCGCTCAGTCCAGAATGGCTAGAGATCTCACTATCCTTTCTGAGCCAAGGGCAGACATCTCATGGTTTTATGACAGAGGTAAACCTGGCCTTCATAAATACTTCATACACTGCTTTCTTCCAGCTGGCAAAAGCGAGCAGAAGAAGCTGAGAGCAAAGGCAAGTTAGGTTAGGACAGAAGTACATATTTTGACAGATAAGTGAAAGTGGGGAAGGAGGTGTAGGGTGCAAACAACTGAGGCAAATGCAAAAACAAAAGAACAACATCTTAAATGCTTCCTTCTAGCCAAAGAGGACCTGTTTCTCACATGGTTGCGTTAACAGAGATGTTCAGCAGGCATGTGTACCAGAAACAGGCATTTAAATTATGCTGTCCTGATTTATGCATAAAACGTATGCGGGTATAAAAGTGTTTGCCTGTGTACTTGTGTTTGCCTTTGTACATAATCACTTGTGTATATGCTACATGTAAGTTTGGGTAGTGTGTGTTGCCAGCGAGAAGTGCTGGCTGAAAGTAAGCAGAGCAATATACACTAAATGTTATTTTCGGTTCATCCTTTTTTAGAATGAACAAAATCCCAGTGTCATCTGTTCTATTTCAAGGACACAGAAGGCAAAGCTTTGGCTACATAAAGCATATCTAAAGCCTAAAATATTCCACTCTATTCCCTTTTTAAATATATGGCCAAACTGTGGCAAAGCAATATTAGCAGTCATCCACACGCTTTCTGGCTTAATAAGTTTTGTAAATGAAATGTCGTAAAAAAAGCAAAAGGTCAGGGAAGTCAGATTTATTGTCGCTATTGAAGTTTTCTCAAACTGATGGGAAAGAGATATACACTCATTTCTTATGCTTTCACATGGGCTGAAAACGGGATGATCGCAGACTAGGGTGGCATTCATGAGGGAAATCAGACTAATCATTGCTGCCACCAAACTCCCAAATTCCCCAAATCAACATGCCACAGTGTGATATTCTAATGTGTGGTGATGTGTTGACAGATACTGTTCATTTAAGAGTGATCTGGGGAAATGCACCTCACCCCGGGGGAGATCTGCAGGATTCAGTGAGCAAACAGGGCTAGTTTTAAAAACATCTCTTATCATTTGGCTTGTGTGTCAGACTTAGTTTGCTGCAAAGCTCTTTTACCATAACTTCCAGTCAGGGCCCAGAGTGGCAGGGTTGACACTGAAGATCTAGTCTCAAAGTTCAGCTAAAACTGGTCTAACCCCAGAGTACATTTGAGTGCATAATTTGAGGGCACTCAACTGTCATAATATCACTTAATTCGATGTCCATGAATAAATGTCCATAAATCCTCCTTATAATTTATAATTTGTCATGCTTTTAACCAGGGGCGGAGCGGGGGTGGCTTCTGGGGCCCCGAAGCCCCAAATCCTAAAAAAAGCATTATTATTTTACATTCTGTATACTCAACTAGTTTAACAAAAATAGATTTCAATTAGTTATATAGTTAGTTAGTTACACTGGATTTCGGCTGGAGAACAATTAGATACAAAATAGGATAGAGGCTCTACAGGATGATTGTTTTCCTGGGCAGGAAACTATCATGTTTCTTCCAAACAATGCATAGTTTTTTTGGCGTTCTATTATCTCAAATGGCTTGAAAAACAAAGTATATAGGTGCCGTAAATTGGGAAAAAAATTTCCATGGGGGAGCATGCCTCCAGATCCCCAAAGGTTAGGCTCCACCCTTCTTTTAACAGTACCAATTTACCAAAAGAGTAAACAAATAAGGGCTAAACTCATTGAATCCATGGCCGCTTTATACTTCAAAGCATTATGAGAACAGCTGTTCCCAAACTTGGTGTATATCCTTCAAAATAATAAAAAAATAAAAAATAAAAGTAAGACCAGGGATATATATATATATATATATATATATATATACAAAGATATACAAAGATATACATATATGTATATATATATATAGCTAGCTAACATTGGAGACATACACATTGGGGGCTCTTTGGTGGCTCTCTAGTTTGTGGAAAAGCAAACTTTTTCTTAGAAGGCTCTCAGGCTGAACCAACTCTGAATCATCACCAGCCCAGTTTACCGACTTAATTCTTTCTTTACCTGATCTCCACAAAGTCAAAGTTGCAAGAAGGAGGGGAGCCCTCTAGCTCAAAGCTGGTGAAGTTCAGCCTAATCTGCATGTTGACCTGCACAATGATCTTGAAGATGCAGTCTCTTCTGTTGGGATAGTTGTCAGGGAAGTTGGGTGAAAAGAAGGACCCTGTAGGGGACGTGAACGTCTCACTACAGTCTGATGAGAAAGAGATTTAAGCATAACAATTATTGCAACATGATTGTTAGTGTTGTGGCTAAAACTACAGTCATGACTAAGACTTACATAAAACTTTTAGAACCAGTGTGTAGGATTTAGTGACATTTAGCGGTTTACAAACCTCACAAATTAAGGATAAGAATACAGAAATGTTCCTGCATGAGGACCACAGTGTATGCTCACATCCAGGTCCCCATTTAGGCTGTTAAACCCTGTCTATTCAAGTTTTTTTGCACGGGGCCTAAGTGTCAGGACCCCCTCTTGAGGTGGCATGCTAATGTACTGACTGACAAGAACTGATTGACTTATTCAGTTCTTTAAAGCTCTACTGTCAATGCTTATTTAAGTGCACAGTTCAGTAGCTGGTATAGTACATGAGTTTCAAGTCAAGTCAATACATTTCCAAACTCTTTACCATAGTTAAATCTTGGAATGCAACTTGAGCTTGTGAGTTTTAGTCTAGTTGTTCATGGCTAATTTGTGTGAAATAAATTCACTAAAACCTGGAAAAAAAGACTGTGTGGTAAATCTATTATGTACCTGTGGTAGCATTGATGGAAACATAGCTGGCAGAAAATCCCTCGCTGACTAAACTTGAGTCAGACACAAACAGCAGGGTGAGTAGGCTGTCAATACTGGTGATAGATGGAGGCACTGAACGCCCACAGTACCTGCACATACAAAGCATGCAAATCTCTTTACTCACCAAGTACAACAAATAGTAAGTAATTATCTGCAATTGCAATTGTTAAATGTCAAGAGATACACACACACAACAGAAAAAGCACTTTATGCAAGACCTAAAGAAGAAGAAGTTAATCATGAGCAGAGCAGTCGAGTAAGCTAGTGGATAGGCGCTTGCCTGGAGCAGATGACCATATAAAGAAATCTGTGACGATTTTAACGTAATCCACGTATGTCTGAAAACTGAGCTCTTCGCTAGGGACTAGTTTTACATATGTCTACCTCAAGGCCCTGCAAACAAAAAGCAATTTATCAATGTAATCTACGCAGAAGATGTACAGACAAGGAAAATAAACATGCAATACAGTTCATTCAGGTATTTCAGGTAAAGGATGCACTGGAGACTCTAGACATAGACAAGACAAGATAAAAAAATATTACAAGAGAGTTTGTTAGGCTATTTTATAGCCTACTTTGGTTATTATTTATTTAGTACTATATATTTACACCAACCACCCATAACATTATGATCACTGACAGGTAAAGTGAATAACACTGATCTCATTATCTTGTCACCTGTCAGTGGGTGGGATATATTAGGCAGCAAGTGAACATTTTGTCCTCACAATTGATGTGTTAGAAGCAGGGAAAATGGGCAGCGTGAG